AGAACTTATATTTATAACTTATAAACAAACACTTATAAAATAAACTTAGTAAATAAAAACTTATACTAATATAACACAAAAGTGGGGGGGGGGGGTGTTGGATGAAAAGTAAATATTTTTTTTGGTTTTTTATATTTTTCTTATTTTTTGTTTTTTTTTTTGATAAAATGGGGGAAACAAGCTCAAAAGATAATCAACTTCTCCTACTAAGGTAACTCAAGAAACACCGCCAAGAACCCGAAACAAAATGAAAAAGAGAACAAACACAAGTCGAACATTACACGTATAATAGGCATGTAGACAATATATTACGTAATTTACGCACTTAAGAATAAAAAATAATTCAAAGGCTCGAGTTGAATCATATCCTTGACCACATATAGAGGATCGTCAACTCTCTATAAAGCCCGGAGTCATGTAATTCAAAGGCCTTTTGGATCACTTTGAACCTCAACTCACCTCAAGCGCTCAAACAATGATTCCAAAAGATGAAAAAGTTTATAAAAAGGCGAATCTTTCTTTCATTCTTACTCCCATGCATAATTTATCCACGAAGATTATTTTATACACTTTAATAAACTTTAACGTCTAATGACGAAAATATTTTGCAGGTCTTCTTGAAAAACTCAAGCATAAGAATTGTAATCTATTCACATAAGAAAACATTACATATTTTCAAAAACTTAAAAATTGTTTTTGTGCTTAAACAACCTTAAATTTTATGAAAATCAACAAACAAACACACGACATAACAATCACTCAATAACGAATCTTAAGGAAAGCGTCCAAATTGTGGGGCTAATAAGTCCATAAACCTTAAAATTTTACAAAACACATAGAACAACAAAGAATCACGTATGAATTCGAGAATCATTTAACTATAATATGGAGCTAAAATAGCTTCAATGAAAACTAAATTCGACATACCAACCTACTTATGAAATCAAACCATGCGATTCAACCAATTTAACAACAATTTGCACAATAATTGAAGAAAATTAATATGAATCAATTCTCATTCATAAGAGATTTAATATAGTTAAAAAAACATAAAACCAAAAAAACACCAACCATATTTTTTTTTGGAATTTTCAGAATAATTAGAACACAAGCACATAAAAATGTAAAATTGAAATAAAAATTTACACTTTACAAAGAATTGGGAAGAAATTGAACAAATAAGAGTTACCAATTTGTTGAAGAAGATGATGAAAATTGAAGTATTGGAGCTCAAGGAACCGCCAGCCACCACCGTCGTCACCGGCGCCACCGCTCTCACCGCCAGAGCTGTGTAGATAGCAGCGGATAGAGCTGCTGCTCTTTCTCGTTCTTTCCCGGGAGAAGGAAAAATCTAGAAGTAAAACATATGTCATATCCTCAAAATAGGAGTTCAAACTTAAACTCCTCTAAATAGGAGTAATTAACATAATTAATAAAACAAAAAAAGGTTCCACACACGCACTTTTTTTTAAAGATGCATGCGACCATAATAAGGAGCATGATCACATACCCACCGCATGCGACTATTTTTTTTTGCAGTCATGTTTTTGAGTTTTTCATTGTTTTATTTTTTATAAAAAAGTTAAAATAAAGATTTTAACTTAAATAATAAAACAAAAAATGCTCCCCACACGCGCTGCATTTGCGGCCAATACCAGTGGTGGCCAAGTTCAAAATTAAACAAATTCGGCCAATTTCACAACAGCATGCTACTCACAGCAACGTCCACTGCCGCAATCTTCGTCGACAGTGATGCCCACCTGATAAGTCGTTTTTGGGTTAGTTCTTTTTATTCTTTTTTTTAGGTATTTTTTAAAACTTTTAGAGTTTAATTTTTAGTTGTTTAGCTTAGTTTTATTTTAATTTTTATTTTTACAATCTTTTAATTTTCTTGAATAAATAGTAGTTTTTTAATCACTTTTACATTATTTTTATTTTTCCTAACTCAAATTATCAGATATCTTATTTTTGGAAAAAAATATAGCAAAAGGCCAAAACGGAGTTCAAATTTGAAAAGAAAAGATCGAATTTGGGCCGGAGCCCAAACCCAACAACAACAAACAAGCCCAACTCTCCTCTCCTCCTTCCACTTTATCTTCACGCAAGAAAAAGAAAAAAAAAACAGAGAATCGGCTTCTTCTCCATCGCGCAACAGGCGGAAGTGTAACGCTCCAACATTCAAGTCTCCAACGAGAAAAAATTCAACGGTAAAAAGCTCTATCTTGCTATAAATTGGTGATGGATTAAAGCTTCAAAGGAGGGAATGTTGGACTTCTATGAGGAAGAACACTGCGACGCAGTGTTAAACGAAGAACTTGATAGTATAACGAATCACGTATGAAACGCTTTCAGATTAAATTTATTTCGGGGTATACGAAATACTTCAATCGAATAAGACGTTAATCAAGAATAAGCACTCGAAATCGGCCACTCAACCCATACCACGAGACTCTATTTTATAGAGTCGAATATCCTTATGATCGGACATGAACGTTCGCGTAGACGTACGCGTACGTTCGCGCGAGGAAGAAGAAAGGCGCGAGTTTGAACGAAAGGTCTCCTGCGGTTTTTAGGCTCTATTTAGACGTTATACGAGTCCTTTACCGTTTTGGACTCTGGTGACGAAAATCTTAAGAATTTTCATAAAGAAACAACGTCCGACCCCGGCAAGAGGCTCTGCCCCTTGGACCCCGCCAGGGGCTGCTGCCCCTTGGACCCCGCTACCCGGGGGTTGCTGCCCCCGGACCCCCGCAGTGAATTTATAATATCGTTGAACGAGCGCGCACTCTGCGCCTCCTAACTCGTTTGACAACGTCTATTTAAATTCTTGTCCAATCAAAGTAAATCTAATTACACAAAATAAACCGATGACACTAAAATCACCAACAATCCTCCCCTATTTTAGTGTAATCCATGACTTACTTTTTGAGATAATAGATTCAACAAACTTATGCATAAATGAATATGTCGCGACAACTGAATTTTTATCTTAGTATATTATACATTCCAAATATTCGAATTTCGGGGTGTCTCTAAGGATTGAACCCTTGCAATTCATATGAATACATGAAAATAATATACACATAAGCTCTAAGTGCTTCTTTGTTCCATGCTTGACACCGTATTTTACTAGCCTTGTGTCCCTATCCTTCAACGAGCATATAAAAAGTCAAGTCCAAACTTTGTGAAGCGGCTAAACTTCATTCTCCAAAAGGTGAAATCGCTCACCCCGGGCGCCCCTCACCCCCGACCCGACGGGAAAGCGGCTAAACTTCATACTCGTATAGGTAGTTCTTTTATGTCTTGTACCTGCATATACAATTTTTCAAAAGAACTATTAAGAAGATTGACTTCAACCTCTTTAACTTGCAGTTCTGAACACATACCTTTGGATGATGCTAATTACACGGAAATAAAGCAGCGGATTTGCCGCTTCATCGGCGATGGCCGGCGTTCGACGTCGGCGGTGGTCGGTGGAGGAGGCGACAACCAGCGGCGGAGACGGTAGCGGCTGCAGCTCCGGTCGACAAAGGGCGGCAATCTCCAACTCCGGTCATGGTTACTTCAAGCTCCAACTTCTTCAATTTCATCATCTTCTTCAACAAATTGGTAACCCTTGTTTGTTCAATTTCTTCCCAATTCTTTGTAAAGTGTTAATTTTTATTTCAATTTTACATTTTTATGTGCTTGTGTTCTAATTTTTCTGAAAATTCCAAAACAATATGGTTGGTGTTTTTTTATGAGTTTTTATGTTTATATTAAATCCCTTATGAATGAAAATTGATTCGTACTAGTTTTCTTCAATTCTTGTGCAAATTGTTGTTGAATTGGTTGAATCACACGGTTTGATTTCATAAGTAGGTTGGTATGTCGAATTTGGTTTTTGTTGAAGCTATTTTAGTTCCATATTATAGTAAAATGATTTCTGAATTCATACGTGATTCTTCATAGTTTGTTTTGTGAAATTTTAAGGTTTATGGACTTTTTAGCCCCATAAGTTGGACGTTTTCCTTAAGATTCATTATTGAGTGATTGTTTTGTCGTGTGTTTGTTTTATGTTATTTTCATAAAATTTAAGGTTGTTTAAGCACAAAAACAATTTTTAAGTTTTTGAAAATATGTAATGTCTTTTTATGTGAATAGACGAGAATTCTTATGTTTAAGTTGTTCAAGGAGACCTACAAAATATTTTCATCATTAGACGTTAAAGTTTATTAAAGTGTATATAATGTTCTTTATGGATAATTTATGCATGAGATTTAGAATGAAAGAAAGATTCGTTCTTTTATAAATTTTTTTATCTTTTGGAATCATTGTTTGAGCGCTTGAGGTGAGTGGAGGTTCAAAGTGATCCAAAAGGCCTTTGAATTCTTTGACTTCGGGCCTTATAGAGAGTTGACGATCCTCTATATGTGGTCAATGATATGTTTCAATTTGAGCCTTTGAATTATTTTCTATTCTTAAGTGCGTAAGTTACGTAATATATTGTCTACGTGCTGATAAGTCGGGTTTGGATTGGTTCTTTTCATTCTTTTTTAGGCATTTTTAATATTTTTAGAGTTTAATTTTTAGTTGTTTTGTTTAGTTTTATTTAAATTCTTATTTTTAAATTCTTTTTATTTTCTTTCAAAATTAGTAGTTTTTAATCACTTTTTACATTTTATTATTTTTATTTTTATTTTTTCTAACCCAAGTTATCAGATATCTTATTTTTGGAGAAAATTATAGCAAAAGGTCAAAATGGAATTCAAGTTTGAAAAGAAGAGATTGAATTTGGGCCGTAGCCCAAACCCAACACTAAAAAATCAGCCCAGCGCATCTCTTTCCCCCAAACTGATTTCACGCAAGGAAAAAAACGGAGAATTGAAGTCTTCGACTTCTTTTTTTTCGGCGACCGTAGAACGCATCAACGCACCAACGTCTCTCCCTGAAATTCGCTCCTCATTTACACTCCAACGGGAAGAAAGGCTTGGACTATAAATTGAAGGCAAATCGTAACAATTCAAGGGGGGAATTCACACAGAGAATAAAACGAGAATAAAGCAGCGGCTTGGCCGCTGCTATGGTGGTCGCCGGCGATGGTAGCAGGCGGCGCGGCGAACGGCCAGAAGACGCGCAGCAGCTCCAGCTCCAGTGGGCAGCCTCCATCACAGCTCTAGTTTACTCAATTTGTTCATCTTCTTCAACAATTGGTAACTCTTATTTGTCAATTTTATCTTTTCTTCTCCAATTCTATGTAAAAGTTTGTTTTTTATTCAATTTTACATTTTTTGTTTGTTAGTTTGTTCCAAAAATTCTAAAAAAATGGTTGTTTTTTTGGGTTTTTTGAATGTTTATATTAAATCCCTTATGAATGATAATTGATTCAACCCAGTTTTTCTTCAATTATTGAGCAAGTTGTTGTTGAATTGGTTGAATTGTATAATTTGATTTCATAAGTAGGTTGGTATGTGGAATTCGATTTTTGTTGAACCTATTTTAGCTCCATAAGATAGTTAAAATAAACAACAATAACTCAGTTAAATCCCACAAGAGTAGGGTCTGTGGAGGGTGTGTGTACGCAGACCTTGCCCCTACTCGAAAGTAGAGAGGCTGTTTCCAAAGAGACCCCCGGCTCAACGTCGAAAGTTGCATTGCTTGACTAACTGCTACTTCATTAATTAAAGAAGCGCAAATAGTTTAGAGATCCATTTTGATTTATCCATCACACCCCAAAGCCAAAAACAGGTGAAATTTTGGCTCCATCGGAGATGATGGAAATCTCCATAAGATAGTTAAATGAACTTCGAATTCATACGTGAATCTTTTTTGTGCATTGTGTTCGTTGATTTTAAGAATTTTGGACTTCTTAGCCCCATAAGTTGATTCATTATTCTTAGAATTCGTTATTGAGTGATTGTGTATTTTCTCGTATGTTTGTTTGTTTGTTATTTTCGTTAATTTGAGGTTGTTTAAGCTCAAAAACAATTCTCGGTTTATTGAAAATATGTTGTGTTCATGTACGTGAATAGAAAAAAACGCCATTGGTTTGAGAAGTTCATGGAAATCTGTGAAATATGCTCATCATTAGGAGAAAAGGTTTATTAAAATGCATAAGATATTGGCGGTTTGTGAATAGATTATGCATGAGAGTTAGAATGAAAAAAAATTCGCTCTTTTATAAACTGTTTCTATAGTGGAAGTATGTTTTCATGCTTGATTGGTGAGTTGGGGTTCTAAGGTATATTTCAAAATGGGCCTTTGAATTGCATGACTCCGGGCTGTGTGGAGAGTTGACAATCCTCCATACCGTGGTTAAGGAAATGAATCGACTCGGCCTTTGATTGATTTTTTCTATTCTTAAGTGCGTAAGTTACGTAATATATTGTCTACATGCCTATTATACGTGTAATGTTCGTTTTGTGTTCGTTCTCTTTTTTATTTTGTTTCGGGTTCTTGGTGGTGTTCTTGGGTTACTTTTGTTGGAGTAGATGACTATCTTTAGAGCTTATTTTCCCCCATTTTATCAAAAAAAACCAAAAAAAAATACTATAAAAAACCAAAAAATATTTACTTTTCATCCAACCCCCCCTTTTGTGTTATACTGGCAGAAGTTTTTATTTACTAAGTTTATATTATAAGTGTTTGTTTATAAGTTATAAATATAAGTTTTATATTCTTTTTTAGTATATCTTAAGTATGTGTTTCATGTTTATAAGTTATATTATAAGTTCTTTGTTTATATAAGTTATATTTATAAGTTTTTATAAGTTTTATAAGTGTTATCATATGTGTAGCAGTTAGTTTGTTTTGTTTAGTGATAATGTGTTCGCATGCTAATTTGATTTCAAAAGTACAGACTTTCTCTGTGAGATCGACCCTTACTTGCCCTAGCTATAGTTTTTATTTGATTATATTTTGGGGGTTAGCTAAGGATATTTTATAAATTTTTAATTTGTTTTGGACCTCACGACAAGTCCTCAACACGTACCTATTATACGTGTAATGTTCGATTTGTGTTCGTTATCTTTTTAATTTTGTTTCGGGTTCTTGGGATCGCCGCATCTCCCTTATTCGACCTAATGACAGCAACAGCGCTCTAATCAAAGGGCGAGTTCCGACAGGCAACGAGGTGATCCAGTGCAGCGCCGGTGGCGTTTGATCTAGCCGAGCAACAACCTCGGTGACACAAAGCGGTGACGAACTAGAACCCCGTCGATGACTGTGTGTGGTTCCCCCTGTAGAGATGGTCACAGGGTTGATTGGCGAACCACACGACCCGGGTTCGATCCCTAGAAGAGGCAAATTTGGAGGAATTTTAAGAAGTTAAGCGTGCTGGCATGGGAGTAACAAAAATGATGGGTGACCCCCTGGGAAGTAGATTTGGGCTTATGGGGCTGGGCTTTAGATTGGGCTTTTTATAGTGGGCTATCTACCTCGGGTGTTAACGGGCCCCAGGGTAGTCACGAGGTTAACGGGTGTATATGTGTGTGTGTGTGTGTGTGTGTGTGTGTGTATATATATATATATATATATATATATTCATACCTCCGGTTAGATGACGAGTTTGGTAAGATGACGGTTCCCATCAGATGACACGCGCGCTTCATACTTCCGTTTCATTTCCCGTTTCTTTTCCCGTTTTCTTTCCCGTTTCCATATTCTTCCCCAATTTCATTCTGTTCCCGTTTCCATCTTCTTCCCCAATTGTCGCCGACTTCTTCCCCAATTGTCCGATGCAATCTTCTTCTCCAATTTTCATCCTCCTTTCTCCAATTTCATTTTCTTGTCAAATTCAAATCTGAAATCCCTATCTGCCTCTTCAATTAATCTTCCTAATCACTTTCAAATTCATCGGCTTCTTCACGCGAATTTTATTTAACCTCTGCATTTAATTCCCAAATATGGAAGTCATCGAATTCAACTCGTAATTGGATTAGTCAAGGGTATTCCTTCTTCTTCATCCGTTGGACAGCATACTACTTACCAGGTAATTCGTTCTACTATGTTTTTTATGCCTTTTTAAGATAAGTTTTTTTGGAGAATTTATCAAAAAGAGCTCTTTTCTTTGTGATGAAAGTAATGGAGAAAGGTATGAAAAAGTTGTGCCTATGAATTTCTGAGTATGGGGATTTGAGTTACCTGATGGATTCTAAATGGGTGAGTACTAAGATTTATTTTGGTTGCTATCTTGTATATTCATCCTTAATATACAAACAAGAATGTGGAAACTCAGTAATGTTTTGTGAGTTTTATCAAAATGTTTGGCGAGTTTTATCAAAATGGATACATTCTGTACAGGCTTTCAATGGACCTTATCAAAATTGCAAAAATTGAACTATCAAAAATGCAGAGTAATCACCATCGCACTAGTTGATGTGATGCAAAACCAGTGGTGGGAGGGAGGGTAGGCAGCGATCAAGTGTCTAATTTAAGAGCACAATAAATCCTAACTGAGTGTCTAACTGATCCAAGAACAACTACTGGAGTCACAAGTTAAACACATATCAGGACACAATTAACATTTTATTATGTTACACAGTTACACGTCACTATACTGAGCATTCAAACATGAACATATGCAACCTAATGTGCATCATTCTGCCACAGCAGAAGCATGTTGTCTTATGACCTTCAGCTTCTTTTATCTGCCTCAAGATGTCTGCTCTTTTTGGCTCTAAACGTTCCATTTTTGCATTGATTTTCTCCAGATAGATAAATAAAAGTGCAAAAGAAATTGAACACGGTTTATGTTAACTTTTTCCTCGTGATAAGTTTATGTTTATTTTCTTCCTCTTTGACATATTCTATAGGTTGCTTTTATCTTATGCAAATGGAAAGCTATTCAATTGATTCTAGTTTTCTACAAACGCCATCATTTGCTTCTATAACGTTGGGGAATTGGGTTCTTGATGTACCAGACAACTTAAAGATTAAAATAGGTCAAGTTTTTTCGAGTTTTGTAGAATGCGAAGCGTTCTACAATCAGTATGCCAGGAATCAGGGTTTAGCATACGTTGTGGTTCATCTTCAAAAAGTAGAAATGAGGATAAAACTTGGAAAACATATGTGTGTTCAAAAGAAGGCTTTAGGAAACAACCTAAAACTGGCCTTGAAGTTATAACTCATCCTCAAGAGCAGGATCCCCTTTCTGAGCAGTATCCCCTATCTGAAGAATCAATAACCTCAAAATAACCAAAAAGAAAGAAAAGAGCTGAAACTCGAGAAGGTTGTCGCGCTCGTATTTTAGTTGTGTCATGTGAGGAGGGTTGTAAGATTATTCAGTTCGAAGAGTCCCATGTCCATCCCATGGTTACTTCGAGTAGAAGACATTTCCTATCTTCATCGAGGGAAGTTTCTACATCGCACAAGCACATGTTGTGTAGTGCTAGTAGAGTCAATGTAGGTCCCTCTAAGGTTTTTGATGTTACGGCTGAGGTAATGATGGGTCATCAAAATGTGGGTTGTACGAAAAAGGATTTTTTGAACTATCAAAGAAGCTTGAAGGCAATCATTAAGGACAATGATGCCCATATGTTTATTGACACGTTAAAGAGGAGAAAAGAGACAGAGCCAGGGTTTTACTTCGCATATGAAGTGGATGAAGAGAGTCGCTTGAAGAGAGTGTTTTGGGCTGATTCATTAAGTCGTTTAAATTACTCTTCATTTGGAGATATACTCTCATTTGACACAACACATGGCACGAATAAGTATGATCCTACTTTCTGCCCATTTACTGGTGTGGATAACCACCGTAAGCTGATTTGTTTTGGGGCAGCGTTAGTTTGTAATCAGAAAGGAGACTCCTTTATTTGGCTTTTTTCAAAATTCTTAGAGTCAATGGGAGGGAAGCAACCAATAAGTATAATTACTGATCAGGACCATTTTATTAGGTTAGCCCTTTCTGAAGTGTTTAAGAAATCAATACATAGGTTTTGCATCTGGCATATACTAAAAAAAGTTCCGGAATATGTGGGCCCCACTGTGAATTGTGAATTCATCTGAAGACTTCCATACGCGTTTGAAATCCTGTGTTTGGTCCTCAGAGAGTCCTGAAGAATTTGAAGAGGAATGGCTACGCATAATGACTGATTTTGATTTGTTGTGTAATGATTGGTTCACGCATATCTTTTCAATAAAGGAGCAATGGGCCCAGGTATATTTTGATGCCACATACTTAGGTGCTGTTGTAAGAACAACGTCGGGTTCGGAAAGCCAAAACCAAACGTTCAGTTGTTTGACAAACCAAGTAATAAGTTTGGTAGAATTTTGGGTGTGGTTTCAGCATGCCATTGATACTCAGCGTGACAATGAGTACAAACAACATAATGCATCATTAACTTCAAATCCCGTTCTAAGAACAGAATTACCCTTGGAGCGCCATGCACGGGAGGTTTACACACACACCAATTTTTACTTGTTTCAAGAAGAATTTTGGAATGGCTTATGCTACTGTGGTATCCAAGGGATGGAATCTGTTGATGGTCAAACAATGACAGCCGTAAGAGATAATCGTGTTGCAAAAGGGAAGCTGTACAATGTCCACTATAGTGATCTGACTGAAGAAGCTGCCACATGCTCTTGCCATTTTTTTGTGTCACAAGGAATCCCTTGTAGGCATATTCTATCAGTTTTGAATGGGCAAGGGTTTAGAGAGCTGCCAAAGGTTTATATTTTCGATAGATGGACAAAATATGCAAAGAAAAGAGCTGTTGTTGAAGGCACGGTGCATTTTGATGAAACATTTAACACACGAAGCTAGAGAATCAAACTTTATCTAATATCTGGTGCAAGTTTTACAACTGCATGCTTCTGGCAGGGCGAGATGATGAGAAATTGAAAGTGATTTTAGAGAGTACGACTTCCCTTGAGCATGAACTCACTGATATGGGGCCAACAGTTGCAAATGATAAAAGGAAAGACTTGGAAACTTATTTTGGATGCAAAGTGCCTGATAGAGTTGAAATTCATCCTCCTACCATTGGAGTCACTAAGGGAAGGAAAAGGAGGATTAAGAGTGGTGTGGAGAAGGGTCAAGAAAAACAAAAGCACACTCGACGTTGTCGTTCATGCAACAAAATGACTACGCATGACAGCCGTAATTGTCCATTGAAAAACAACAGGTTACTTTTAAATGTTTCATTTTGGTTGTTCCATTTTAACTTACATTTAGATTTTAATAATCCTTCTTTCATAGTAAAAGCAGCAGTGATGAAGAGTAATCAATATGCTCCCGTGGTTTAGCATATACGCTGTTATTTAAGATCCTGACAGAGATTGCCTTGACAGGTACCATGTGCAATCTAATCTGATTCCAAATATTTATCTTTATATATAAGTAAAAAAATCAGGGTATTCATGTAAAGATATGTCATATTTCAAAAGATTAAGATTGTGGGTTTCTTCTTAATCAGGTTATTCATGTAAAGATATGTCATATAAGTAAAGTAATCAGGGCACAGTCTACTGTGATGATACTTGTACCCATCATCATCATCAAGAACATTTTTCTAAATCTGGCCACGTCATTTCAGGTAAGGGAAATCAATACTTATTAATTTAGGGAATATTTGTTTTTAAAATATTGTTCATGTGTGTGTAGCAATAAGCTGACCAAATGGATTTTGACTTGACTGACCAGTTTTTGTACAATTACGTTGCTTATTATTTGGATTATTAATTCTGTTGTTTTGGTCATGTTGGAGGCTGATTTGAGATTAGTTGATTTGAGATTTGTTGGTGTCTTTATTTCTTAAAGTTGACTATCACCTTGACTATCACCCTGACTATCACCTGATTTGAGGTTTTTTTCTGTTTACAGTGGTGTTAACTTGAAGCAAAACAGCAATAAGAAGGTCTAGCAGCTACTGCTTACAGAGTAGCAGAAGCCGAGGTTGGAATTTGAGCTCTGTACACATGTGCCTACTGTTCCGTCTTATTGTCTTTTTTATTGCGGACTACGGGGGATTTGAATGCTTTGAGAGGTTTTATTTTTTTGATGACAGTTGAGATTTAGAAATCTTAAGACTTTATCGCAACCTGTTTGCTTGTAGTGCCCATTGTAACATTGTGGAGCATCTCTTTTTGGGAAACCTATGTGTTCTTTTCTTAATCTATGATTGTCTAAGCATTGTAATCTAGGAACTATTCTTAACAATATTTGTATCTCAGAATCTTAGTTCTTTTGGGATTTCTGTTTTTTATTCGGGTTAAATACTTGGAGTGGAAGTATACAACACTAGGTCCAGTTCCGATAACCATTTGACAAAAATTAGCTCGACTTCTTTATTACCAGAGACTCGTCTTTGAAATACTGAATTTTGGACAAAGGATGACTGAAGCCGAATGACATTGAACTTGAAATGTCCCGTAAAATATGGATCAAACCCGGCGGAATCTCAACCTGACCAAATTGGTAATGAAAGGTTTTTTCAAAAACTAGCAACTTAAGAACATTAATATTGAGAATATTCTTTCTGTTTCATATCTTTCTTCTCATTATCACTTTCTTCGTCAATGCTTTTAAACAATGACTATATTTTTTCCCATTTTGACTTTTGGGGCCAACATTTTAAACTTTGAGAATAAATTACGGAAAAAATATACTACCTCCATCCCAGAGTATTTGTCAACTTTCATTTTTACACACCATGCAATATACTTCTTTAATCTATTTTATCTTGTATTTTGTATATTAAAAATTATAGAAATTATATATTAATAATCTATATTTTAAGACAAATCACACAAGATCACACATGACTATATTTAGGCTTACACATTGAAAGAATTTGATGAGTCAAAGTGCATAGATGAACAGTTTCAAAAGCCAAAAGTGGAATAATATACCAGGACGGAGGGAGTATTAGATTGTGATAAAAATTTAAGAGTAAAAAGAATGGACACCGGGCACTTCTCATCCATTTCCTTCCGCAAATGCGCCACAAAATTTCCTTCTTGTTAATAACCCAATACATGGGTATAAAAAATTGATGAGCTTTCTCAATATATTTGGTGAGCTTTGTAGTTAAGTTTGGTGAGCTTTGTAGTTATGTTTGGTGAGCTTTGTAGTAATGTTTGGTGAGCTTTCTAATTATGTTTGGTGAGCTTTCTAGTTATGTTTGGTGAGCTTTCTTAAATTATTTGGTGAGCTTTCTAGTTATGTTCGGTGAGCTTTCTAGTTATGTTTGGTGAGCTTTCTCAATATATTTGGTGAGCTTTCTAGTTATGATTGGTGAGCTTTCTTAATATATTTGGTGAGCTTCCTCAATATATTTGTTGAGCTTTGTAGTTAAGTTTGGTGAGCTTTGTAGTAATGTTTGGTGAGCTTTCTCAATATATGTGGTGAGCTTTCATGTAAAAAGCAAAGTCTTAGTCTTAAATTATTTGGTGAGCTTTCTCGTAATGTTTGGTGAGCTTTCTAGTTAAGTTTGGTGAGCTTTGTAGTTAAGTTTAGTGAGCTTTCTCAATATATTTGGTGAGCTTTCATGTAAAAAACCAAGTCTTAGTCTAAAATAATTTTGGTGAGCTTTGTAGATAAGTTTGGTGAGCTTTCTTAATATATTTGGTGAGCTTTGTAGTTAAGTTTGGTGAGCTTTGTAGTAATGTTTGGTGAGCTTTCTTAATATATCTGGTGAGCTTTCTCAATATATTTGGTGAGCTTTGTAGTTAATGTTTGGTGAGCTTTCTTAATATATTTTGTGAGCTTTCTTAATATATGTGGTGAGCTTTCATGTAAAAAAACGAAGTCTTAGTCTTAAATTATTTGGTGAGCTTTCTAGTAATGTTTGGTGAGCTTTGTAG